ACCATACTGGAGTTCGTTGTTTTGGCTTCCATCTCCACTTTCTTTGCTCACTCACCCTTAGTTTTATGTTTTCCTCTTTGTTCATTGCTCCGTGTTGCTGTCCCTGTTTCAATTTGCAACCTTGAGTAACTACATTCTTCCTTTGGACTACCTCTACAAAGGTGGTTTCTATTGATTTCCCATCTCCAACGGGTCCATCCTTCTCATCTTGTTACCCATGTTCCTGTCTCTCTAATTTTCATTCCATGCCTTCTCAAAATGTGGCTTATTTGCATGTAGTTTGAACCCATCGATTTGGATCTAATTTAGCTTTCATTCCAACTCTCCAACATTTCGCACCTCTAGGAAGGTGACGAAATTGAACCTTCTCCCCATGCGGTCTCTCTTCTTAGGGCAATCAATATCAATTACCCTACCTTCTCCCAATCTGTTAAAAGTTCTCCACATCTATTCGAAGAACCACTCTTCCAGAAAGTTTGTGAAAAAGAATGGAATTGCTTGGTTGTAGATTCTCTTATCAAAACCCCCATGCTGCTATTACGAATGATCCTTTCTCTCCAGTTGGTTACCCTCGAAACGTTGTATCCAAGTCCCTCATGCTCTGCTGTCGATCTTCGGTCCTCTTCCTCTCCTTTTCCCTCTCATTCTCTTTTTTTTTTGGAGGGTATAGCTACTTATCTCAATAACTATCTTTCAATTGCAATTCCACACCACTACTCGAAGCCTAAAGAAAAACAACAAATAAATATAACTTAATCATTAAATAAAATTTAATTAATACTACTTAAGCATTGCAGGAACTAATCCCAATCTCTCATGTCATCCGTGTCTTACTTTCCCACTTAGTTTAGTTTCTGTACCCACCGTCACAATTTCCTCCAACTAAAACAAATCCACTGTACAAATCCTTGTCTCATCTACAAGACCTAATATGCAATTCATATGATGCAACCTTATATACTATATCTTTTTGCCTCCTTTTGCTATATCTTAATAATCTCAAATTTCTCACCCAAATTCAATTTGCATTCTTACCATTTATTATCGTAACACAAAACTAAACATAATGAAATTCTCATACCTTGTATAAACAATGTTCTTCCTCCCTATGAAGTGCAGAATTATGATTGCAACAGCACTACCCACTCAATTTCCCCTTAAATTAGATTCAAAATTGCCAAAATCCCCTCTAGGTTGCACTTCTTTTTCCATTGAGAAGCTGTGATTCTTATTCTGAAACTAAACTTCCAGCCTCCATTATACTACTTTTAGGTTTTTAACAAAAGGATATTTTACAACCTAGCCAATGTGATATTTTTACAACTTATCTAGTCCTTGAGGAATTTTTACAATTTAATCCTTGAACTCCTAATCTCATTATAATTAAACCCCTTATTTAATCCTATCACATATACATCCTCTAAGGCTTAAATAATTTATTTAGATCTTTAAATCCTTAAATTATTAATATTAATAATAATAATAATTCCTACTATTACAATCACCTTGCTTTCAAATTTCCTTAAACTAGCAGTTATAAGTGATTCCCACTAGGAAATCACCGTTGGACTTCCATGACTCTCATTGCTTCTCCTCTTAACAACAAGTACTAAATAAGGGCTTTCAATAAATAGTCTATTAATTATGTAGTCTATTTAAGTCTAGTATAGAAATAATTTTTT